ATATATACACATATACATACACATATACATATATACACATATACATACATATACATATATACATATACATATATACACATATACATACATATACATATACATATATACATATATACATATATACATATACATATACACATATACATATACACATATATATATACATATATACATATACATATATATATACATATATACATATACACATACATATATATATACATATACATATACACATACACATACACATACATATACACATACACATACATATATATATACATATACATATACACATACACATACATATATATATACATATACATATACACACATACATATATATACATATACACACATACACATACATATACACACATACACATACATATACACACATACACACATACATATACACACATACACACATACACACACATACATATACATATACATACACATATACATACACATATACACATACATATACATATACACATATATACACACATCTATTATTTAAGCCACGTGTGTAAGTCATCTAAACTGTGTTCCTCGTGCTGCACAAAAGTTCTCAACTATTACGTTTTCTTTGAGTTTCATATCTTTGTTTAGGAGGTTTTAGCGTCATAAGAGTAGTACTTCCCAAGTACTACATACTTATTATTACAAACAGTAGTACCGACTGCGCGTTATCCTCCTATGCCGTCATTCCTGAACATCTGGACTTTCTAGGTTTATTTAAACAGCAGCATGTAGTTTACAGGCTTTACAGTCAGTTAACATCAAATCCAAGCTTAGCGATTAGCTTAGCATGTTCAGCTAGCTAGTCTACACTCAGTGGTCACAGTTTTAGGTACGAGAGGAGACTTGTTTCCTTTAGCGTCCATCTCTCTCTGGTTGTAGTGAAAGTATCCAGCTGACGAGTTGAAGACGCCTCGTTGTTCACCGTCGTCTTCGTCTCTTCTTCAAACAGGACTTCCGGATCTATTGCCTCCACACGGCTCTCAACATGGCGACGGCTGAGCTGAACGGTGCTAACAGGGTCTACCAGAGGGAGGAACTGGAGGGTGGGTGCTACGCAGTAGATGAACAGAAATCTACTGGATCAGGGGACTCAGAGTCAAAGGGCAGCTGAACCACAATCCTGTTCACGGTTCAACGCGTTGTGGTTCTGAGACTGAACCACTTCAAGCAGGACTGAAGAGATGTTGGTCTTGAATCCGTCCAAATATATTCACAGCCTTGAACCCACGTGGTACCAGACTGTAGATTCCATTAAAACACAGGTATGAGACAATTTGGTGAAGGAAGAAGTCAGTACCCACTGACAGTATCTAAGCTGGAAGAGGAATACCTGTACCAAACAAAACTAGCTTGACTTGCTAGCTAACTACTCGTGCTGGGTATCACACCTCTATAATTACTTGGTACTAACCAAAATGTCCCTGAAGTATCAAGTACTGAAAACCGTCAGTTAACCAGGTTGATATCAAATGCATGTTCAGTTTCATAGTTCTGTTTACTTACTACTTAAATCAAGAAAATACAGTGTTGGTATCGGTACTGAAACCCGTCAGCGGTATTTTGAAAAGTCAAACAGAACCTAAGCTTAGTAAAAACACCATTAAAGTCTCATAAGCTCATCTGACTATATCGTGATTTCTGGACTCTTGGGTCCTTGAAACTAGATGAAGAGGAAAAAGATTTTACTTTGTGCAGTTGATATTGCAGCTAGCTTCTTTTCTTGATCGCCGGGACGAACCACTAGACTCGGCTAACGAGCGACTGCAATGCCCCTTAAGAGGTCTAGTTGTCTGTTACTACGTCAGGATTTCTGCTGTCGCTGAACGCCGCTCCTGAACAATGCAACCATGTGTTGGTGCTACTGGAGGAGCGCGAGAGATGCTAGAAAATATAACAAAGCAAAGACATTTCCAGGACAAACCTTTGTTGTGATCCTCGATCTTCAAAATGAAGACACACCGCGAGAATGCGCAAGACATTCGTGTAGCGTCGAGGTGGAGCTACGACTACTGAATGAAATTCTACGCTGAACTCTAAAGGACTTCCTACGGTGAGACTGCAAGATCACTTCAACTGGAGACACGTCTCTACTTTAGTCACATCCAGACAACACTTAGCGATACTTCCATCATGTGAACTTCTTACCATTTCAACCACATCTCTGGAGACGTGGATAATCAAGTAACTAAAGCCTGGCTAACTGTCAGGGTAAAATAAATGTATTTTAAGCTGATCAAAGAAGCTGAATAGTATCTTAAATCTTTCGCCCTAAACATAAAATAAATGACATGCAGCTGTTAACTTGAAAGAACTTGCACATGGAGCACATAACAATATCCTTAACTCTCAAATTCCTGTAATTCAAAGGTTGCTAGTTAAGTTTAGAGTATGTAACCGAAGAAGATCCGATACCTGGGAAGACCCGTACGCCGTCCTTCCACTCTCCACTCTGATTCTTGCGGCTGAGCCAGTCCTTGTAGTACTGCTCCCTCTTTTCTAAAACCCTCTGGTTATACGAATCCAGCTGCAACAGAAACAAAATGCCGCATCATAGCTTTATCCATCATTTGTAAAGGGTTCTACTTCAGTGTGCCATCCGTCTAGATCACCTGGGATTATATGTGGCTGAGAAAATCCAACAATGACAGCAGATACAACCACACACTCAGGGGAAGAACTTGTAATGGTCTACGACAAACTGAACTTCAGTCGCCAACAAGAAGCCCTTTAACAACCACACCCTTCTTATCGGTGCAATAAAACCCTTCACAGGTTCTCTTATGGTGCATTCACACCAAATGTAAAGCAAATTTTACTCAACATAACATCATCTATGCGTAAATACGGCAGCATTGTTTGTACCATAGGTTTATACACATACATTTTTACACAGTTTTGTCCGGTCTCTACAAATACAAGGTATCATAGCGCTCTGGATGAACATCTACGGCTACAGTATTTGTTTCCTGATTCAACAATCAGGAAACAAATACTTTTTGTATTTGTTGAGATGCTCCTTCGGTCGGTGATGACCGAAGGAGCATCTCAACGCTGATTGTTTTTAAAGACACAGCGCCATGCGAATTTCAACTCACTGGAATGTGACAAATGCGTCTTTGGAATTGACTTTCTATGTAATCTACTTGGGCGAAAAATTTGCGCTGCGTTTGGTGTGAACACACATTACTTTTACATCTTGAGTAACACTGACCCTACTTGTTTACTCTAAATAAAGTGAAAGATTCCCCTGCTGATCATACCTTCTCCTGCTGCTTGTTCTTTATTTCATCATCTGCCTCTGTTGACGTCTGATGACCGGAGGATGTTGGAGAGACTATGGGTAAACTGAATTGGACGGATTTGACCGGTTTGGCTGGCAGTTGAACAGCCAGAGATTTCACCGTCTCTATGACCTTCAGGCATCTGGCCACTGTGGTAGAGATGGTCGGTTGGTTAACGTTAGCTGGACTCGATGCTGTGGGTGTCGATGGTGGTGGTAATACTGCTGCAGTGATTAAAGGACTAGAGCAGTTAAGGGGTGGCGCTGCAGGAGGTTGGCCAATAAAAGGAAAGACTGTATGACTGGAGGGTGGAGCAAAAGGAGGCTGTTCGGGAGGGTGCTGGGGTGGAGGTCCAGCAGGAGGTCCTGGAGGAGGCTGTGCAGGACGCCGTGGAGGAGGTCCAGGGGGAGGCCCTGGAGGAAGTCCAAATCTTGGGGGTGGTTGACCAGCTGCAGGAGAAACTGGAAAACCCATGCTGGGGGTTGTGGCGCTCTGCACTGGAGGAATCTGGGTAGTGACTCCAAGGGGCCAGTTGATTGGTGGGGGTGGATGTTGGTAGTGAGCAGGTGGAGGCCCAGGAGGAGCTGTTGGAGGGGAAGTGGTGGAGGGTGTGCTCCCCATTGTTTTGGTAAGACTCTGTTGCTGTTGCGCCTTCTGTAGTGCCTCCAGCTCCTGTTGGTCCAGGAATCCTTCATACTCCGAGACAGCTTTCGATCTGCCGAGTGGCTCCAAACTGGAGGACCTAGTAGGCAAGGGGGAACAGATGTGATCCAATTCAACGGAACCGGTTCTACTTGTTTGCCGTTCTTCCCTCGAGGATGACAAAGTCTCTCTTTCTGAGGATGAGGACTTTCGGCTGTAGATTTTTTCTTGGGCTCGGCTCGCCAGTTTGGTCATATCTCCTGTACTCAGCTTCAGACCAATTGTACGGAGTAGACTTTGGATCTTGTCGTAGGGTTCCGTCTTGTGCTTTGGTTCCTCACTTGTTCTCTCTAGTGAGGATCTTTTAGGGCTCAGCTGTGTATTTTTCCCATCTAGAGCTAGACTGCTGCTGGGTTGCTCTTGAGCCAATCCCACGATACGAGAGAAACCACTGCAATCTTGAACTGCCCGCTCATGAGGCAGAAGGTCATCATTCACATGAAACGGTTCCGATTTCTTTTCAGAATCCACCTTTTTATTAAGCATGTCGAGGAAGCGGTCGAGGGGCTGTTTCACAGCTGCCTGGCGTGGAGTTGCGCTCTTCGGTGTGGGAGAGGGGCTTCTAGGAGGCGGTTCTGTGGGAGAAGGAGGTCTCAGAGAGGGTTGGGAAGATGAAGTTACAGTAGTATTCATCAAGGGAGGTTGAGTGGAGGCAGAAGGAACTTGGGCAGACTGATGAGAAGGTGAGGGACCATGGGGTTGTGGAGACTGGCTCTGTTGGACAGGGCAATACGGATCATCGTGAGGTCGATCCACATATGCCGGTTCATAGTAGCGATCGTCATACGGTTCATCATAAACATCGTAGCGATCGGTGTAACGTTGGCTGGCAGAAGGAGGGCCGCCGTAGGAACGTTCACCATAGAGACGAGTTTCATAAGGGCAATCAGCGTAGGGACGCTCACCATAAGGACGATCGGCGTAGGAACGACTGGCGTACGGATCACCGGGGCGCTCGCCGTACCGCCGTTCTTGGTAAGGACTGTATGGCCGGTCATAATAAGGATCGTCATAGGGCTGAGAAGAACGATGGAGGTAATCGGGTTCGTCTGGTCGTTTCTTTAGGATGGACCGGACTGGTTTGTACTCTGTGAGAGGGACGGCGATACGGCCGTGGTCATAGTCTATGCAAGTCCTCTGTCCAGGGTCGATGTCCACCAGTGACTTTTTGTAGGCAATCATGTCGTTCAGCTCCTCCAGCTCCCGCTTCTTCCTCGCTAGCTCGTCGTCCACAACTCCACCACGTCTGGGAGGAGGGCTTAGCTCCCTCCTCTTCTTGTGACTTTCATCACGTTCTCTGCTGATTTTGCTCCTCTTCCTGATGGTCCTCTCCTTGCTCCTCTCCTTGCTCCTGCTGCGACTCCTGCTTCGGCTGCGACTCTTGCTGTTGCTCTTAGTGCGACTTTTGGTGGGCCGGTTGGGTCTCTCGCGGCTTCCGCTTCGCCTGTACCTGCTGCCTTTACGGTCACGGTCGGTGCTGGTGCTGCGTCTCTTTTTGATGATGCGTCCAAACTGGTCTCTGGGCGGACTCCTGCTCCTGCTTCTACTCCTGGCCCTGCTGCTACTCGGACTCCTGCTCTTACTTCTGCTCCGGCCATATTTACGCCGAGAGGCGCCGTAATCCCTTCTGCCGATACCGGTCTTGCTGTCCTGCGTTCTAAGATTTTTCACCACGGCCTTCAGCTTGTCCGTCTCTGGTTTTTCTTTTCTGAAAAGTTAGGCAGGCTTATTAGAATAATTTCACATAACTTGTATTTCTATGCACCTAGTTTAGATGCCAATGTGTCATTTAGTCAGGTTACAAATGTGACCTAGTGGTTGAACTATCTATAAATAGGCAAATATTTGAATTATAAAAGAACAAAGAACTCTGGTAATCTATTAGCCCATCCCGATTTTTACACCCGAACATAACATTAAAATAAAAATCATTACTCACTCAGTGTCTTCTGTTTTTGCCAGCTTGATGGTCATCTATTAACAATACGGATATCAGACAGTTAGAAAAACAATGATCTCATCCAACGTCTTGTCACAAGAACGCTTCATTGTTTGTTAAATGCACACAAGTGCTGAATCCATTTAGGAGATAGTTACACCATAAAAGCAATATGCAGCTTTGCATCAGACTCTAAAATCATTCTGAAAATATATCATCCTTTATTCAAATCACGTGAAAGTTGATGTTAATGTTGTTTAAATTAACTACAGCTTTTATATTGTATCAAAAATGTTACCAACGTGAGAATTCTGCAAGTTTAAACTTGAGAAAAATGAATGAACAAAAACAGACACATAACTGTGTAGATATGAATCAAGTCCTCCTCACCTTTCCTTTATTGGCCCCGACGCCACCTAGCTTACGAACGGGGAGGAAAACGCTCTCGGTGAAGCGTTTTATCCGGATGGCCTGGTTCCCACCGTCTGCCATTTCATGCTTGGAGAAACAATAACAGAATATTTTTACACAGAAAAATGTAATGAGAATGAAGATGTGGCAGAAATGAAGATCCCAGCGGGGATCGTTTTATATGTTCACAACAGATCCAAAGAGTTAGTTCTTAGTCTGACTCTTTATACCCATAAGTCCAGCCCTTACATCACTCTCCACCAATCAAAGCACATCTGGTCTTTTCATGATGTCATGCTCTCTTCTTCTGTCCGGGGTCAGGATGCAGGTCACATGATATTTGTATTGTCTTCTTATTTAGTTACTTACGGGAAACGTGTTCTTATCTCCCAATGTTCCTGCATGACTTTATCACTTCTCTGGGAACCGTTGATTTCCCACAGATGTTCTTATGATACCAAATATGCTGGGTTCAACATAACGAGGCCTTTCTTCAACAAAGATAGATTATCAGACTATCGGAGGCAAACTCATCAGATTATATGCTATGTTCAGAACTTTTAAATACACATCAGAAGGAACATAAGACGTAGAGGAGGATCAGGACTCACCGGGACGACGCTGAACTCGACCTTCTCGTTTAGCTCCAGTCTCTTCTTCTCGATCACCTCCGACATGTGGAAGTAGAGCTGAGGGTTCTGAGCACACTTGATGAGTCCGGAGGCGTGAGAGAACTCGATCACGATGCCCTGGTGAAAGAAAGAAACACAAACCACCGTGAATCCAGTAGGTCGTCTGCCGGTCGGGGCTCGATCCGTCGGTTTAAAGATGTTGACTTACGTGTCGACGTTGTTCAATGGACTCTTCGAAGGAGTCGGGGAGGATCTCCACGAAGGTGGCTCGTTCCTCTTTGGTCTCTCCGTGGGTGGCGATGTTGAAGCGTACCTTCACAGAGGAGACGCAGTTCAGACTAAACTTCTACAGAACTTTACACGCAGTGAATCACACTTTGATTACAAACACAAGAACCGTGTAGTGATCCGTTTACACCACAGTCCTGTCTCAGTTCTTTATTAACGCTACACATCATATTCTTCTTCTACATGAGTCCATACACCCATTACTCATATAACACCCAGAATGCATCTGTGCTCTTTATTGGTGAAGCAATCAAACAGCATGCAAATGGCACTTTTCTCATGCTAACGTTGTAAAATGTAATGGTATCTACGGTTGGTTAAGTCATATGGCTCGTGGTAAAATGCTCATGATGTCGGGTATTATTCTTTTCTGAGGTGAGACTGTTGAACTCAGGGGTTCAGGGTGTAGAAATGTGAGGTGCATAGAGCGGGTTGGGGTTAAACCCTTTCTAACTGTCACCTTGTCTCCGTCCAGCATGGTGGCGGTGCTCAGCAGGTCGTTGGGTCTGAAGGGAAGCAGCTTCTGTTGGCCGTCGATGGTCATCACCAGTCGACCCATCTCTGGGTCCCCTTTCACAGCTGGTCCTCCTGCAGCTTGAGACGCCTGCTGGTTCTCCTCCTCCACCTCCTCCTTCATCTCCATCTTTCCCTCCTCTCCTTCCACCTCTTCCTTCTTGTCTTCATCCATTTTCTCCATTTTGATTTTCACCTGCGGAAAAGAAAAACATTTAAATTCACGGCTAAAGAAACGGAATAAATAATAAAAACATTTCAAGGATTTCTTTTCCTTTGTACCTGTCCGAGGAGCGCCTGTCCATCTCCTTGTTCCTCCTCCTTGGGCTCCTTCTTGATCTCCTTACGGGGATATTTGGAAATGGCTTTGAGGACGGTGCCTTGGAATCGCTCCTTGCTGACGTCGTCCAGCGTGTTGGGGTTTCTCACTCTGACGCCGAGGGGCGACCACTGAGAGGAAGAAGATATATTATATTAAACTAAACTAAATAAAACATTCAACGTTACAAAAGTCATCCATTTAAACCGAATTCATTTAGACTTTGTGTAATTACCAACTTAAGCTTCAAAATGATGATTCAAAGTGTTTCTTACTTTGCATTTGGCTGCTGCCAACGCTGCCGACACCTCCTCCCTCTTCTTCCTCTCCGCCTCTCTCCGTCGCTCCTCCACCTCCTCCTCCCTCCTCTTCCTCTCCTCCTCCTCCTCTCGTTTCCTCCTCTCCTCCTCCTCCCTCCTCTTCTCCTCCTCCTCCCGTCTCTTCTGCTCCTCCAGGATTTGGTCCTCGACCCTCTTCGTCCTCAGTAGCCTGATGGCTCTATTTTCTGATTTCACCTGAAGAGTCAAAAACATCTCAGAGGTACATATTGTACTACGTCTCAGAGGTACATATTGTACTACGTCTCAGAGGTACATATTGTACTACGTCTCAGAGGTACATATTGTACTCACCGTGGCGACTGTGAACGCCGCCTCCTTGTGGATGTCGCTGCTGTTGAACTTGATTTCGCTGAAGTTCTCACAGATGTCAAAAGGAAGCTCTCCGTGCTCCTCGGAGTTGACGATTCCTTCTTCTGGACCCAGAAAGGTGATGATGCCCTGAAAACACAGATGCGTTAACGGTTCACTCTTCAATCGACCACAATACGAAGAACCAGAGATTCAACCGGTAGTGACGGCGTGCGGTACCAGCTCTCTCTTCTCCTTGGTGTAGCTGAAGGTGAAGGGGATTTTGGGTTTGATGTTGGCCGCCCTCCTCTTCCCAGTAGTAATGTCCACCAGCAGGTTGATCAACACGTGGTCGTTCTTCAGCAGCGTGACGCCGCAGTCCCGGTGGTCGAAGGTCACGTTGGTCTTGAGGGGCCCGATGTTGGCATGGATCTGACCCGGGTAACCCTGCATGTTGGGCTGCGAGAGAGGAACCAGTTAAAACCAGTTATAGCCCATCTGATCTCAACGTTCTCATCCAAACAAGTAGATTAAAGAACGATGAAGCTGGATTTACCAATGACATCATCTTCATCAGTGAGGCTATGGAGGCTAAACTAGCAGTAACAAAGCCTGCTTACCGTGGGCTCTATGATTGTCTGGCTGACGATGCCCTCGTACAGCTCCGTGTCCAGCTTCATGTTGATGCACAGCTCCGGCTTGATGCTGGCCTTCCCGTTCAGCCAGAAGTCTTCGTCACCGGTGGTGTTGTGGGCGGTGGCCTCTGTGGCGGCAGAGAGCGTCAGGAGGAGGGGCTCCTTCACCCGGCGGATCCTGATCGCCCGCTTCCCCCCCCTCAGCTAAGAAGAAACCAACACAAACGCCGTTTCAGAATGAACTCCTCTACTGGAAGGTAGTCGAAGTCTGTGACAGGAAGTGAAAAGGTCTTTGAAAGACGCATTCCTCACCGTCAGGACAGTGAACTCGACCTCCTCCTTGACGTCTTCGTCGGTGAACTCGATGTCGCTGAAGTTCTCTCTGACGTTGAAAGGAAGCTCGCCGTGTTCGTCACACTTGATGACACCTTCGCTGTCTTTCAGGCTGATGATGACTCCCTGAAAGAAGACAAAAACTGATCCTGAGCCTCAATGACTTGATGTCTGAAGTCTGTAAATGTGTGACAGTAAACCTCAGGGTCTGACCTTCTCTCTGGTCTCGTTGGTGTTGCTGAAGGTGCAGGGGATTTGGGGTTTGATGTTCGTGGCCCTCCTCTTCTCGCTGACGATGTCGGTCAGCAGGTTGATGAGCACCTGGTCGTTCTTCAGCAGTGTCACCGTGCTGTCCTTCCTGTCGAACGTCAGGTTGGTCCTCAGCGGCCCGATGTCCACGTGGACCTGACCCGGGTACTGGCGCTCGCCGGGCTGCAGACCGGACCAAACAAACGGGGAAGGGTCAACGACAGGAAACTCGGGGGGGGGGGGGGGGGGGGGGGGGAAGGAGGACGGGTGGATGTCGAAACTGACCTGAGGCTCTGTGATGGGCTGACTGACCACCGCCTCGTAGATCTCCGTGTCCACGTTCTCGGTTCCCCCAGGAGCCACTTTCACATCAGTCGCTATCGAACCGTTCTGTTCCGACACACAAACAACAATCACATTAAAACCAGCTTTGAATACGCGTTGTTTTTAGGATGATGATGATGAAGATGAAGCAGCCTCACCTTCTCCTTGCAGGCCGTGAAGTGAACTCTGACCCCAGGCGTCATGGCTTTTGGGTTTCCAAAGAAAGCGGCGAAGCTGAAGGTGAACTTCTCCAGGTCTTCTCTCTCGATGTAGCCGAAGGTGGGCTGAGGACCAGAGACAAGACGGACTCGGATTATGAACTGGATCTGGATTCAGGACTCGGTTAAGAAGACCAGCTGAGGAGACGGGCTCGTCCCTCCAACTGAGACAATACTGGATTTGTTCTTTCTTATGAAATCCATAAATATCCAAATGAAAAATGGGTTGACAGACAATTGTGATATTGACAAAGGTTTAGAGAAGGTCTAGATGTGAACCCCGTGAGTCACGTTACCCCGATGAAGGAGATGATCCCTGTAGACCTGCCAGGAGGAGGCCTGAGGACACAAACGCACCGCCGTCAGAGACAGTAGAAGAAGAGAAAACCAGACGAACTCCAGCTTCTATAACCAACTTACTTATCAAATGTGCGTTTCCCCAGCAGACCCAGAGCTCTGTTGATCTTGACGGGATCAGGTCTGGGTTTCGGGGCAGCGGCGGAGGGGTCGGCTGCCGCTGTTGTAGCGACGGCCGCCAGCTCCTCGGTGGGATTCTTAGTTTCCCCCGGAGTCGACTCAGCAACCGGAGCTGAAATCAAGGCTTTGATCTAAAAAAACAAAAAACAAACACAGACCAGATCTACACGTGATCCTGCTGAAGACCAGGGCCCCGTTCCTCGTACGTGGTTCAGCTAAGTCGATCAAATATCCTATTAGCCAGCCTAAATTAACGAGATGATTGATGTCAGGCTATCTCGGTTTCTCCAAGGCCGATCCTCTCAGACAGTCTCGTTAATTGGAACCACACGATCAGGATCAGGATAATTGTAGATCACCATATAGAACTAGCAGTTTGAATGTGTGTGTGTGAATCTGTGTGTGGGCGGATCAGTGTGTGTGTGTGTATTATTCATCATCAGACATTCAATCAACTGAAGCAGTGAAGATAAATAGTGTGTGATTCTCTCTGTTCTTATCATGAGTCCACCTTCATCATGTTCTACAGTAATGATATGCTGGTGTACTAATAACACTGTCATATCATTATGAGTGCTTTAACCCTCATGTATGCAACGCAGCCATCAAGAGGACATGGGAGCAAGTAAACACTAACACACACACATTACTCAGAATGCTGAGTCAGTACAATATGTGCCATGGTGATGTAATGAACACATCCATAAGTTTATTAAGCGCCTAATGAACTTTACCAACAGCACGGCATGCAGCGGCTTTCCCCATGTTCTCCGCATCGCCGACACTGTACAACAATGTACCACTCGCAGAACAGCTCAAGGCTGCATCCAGTGTGTGAGACATCAGTGCTCGGCTGCAGCGTGTGGTGTTCAATGTATGCTCCAGAAGGTCTGTAAATAAATGATTCCTTGTGGGCAGAATGGATAGCGTTCGTATAGGAAGTCATCGTGATGTGATAACGGATCTTGGCGATGTGGAAGAACTCTCTCCCTATAAAACGCTAATCTAACTAATATCCTCCTTCATCAGTGGATCTCTGAGGAAGGGAGCTGTACATTAATGCAATAGAGGCTTCTTAGTTTGCTCAGCTGCTTTAATGGATCACCGTGTGTCTCACTTTACATGCATTTCTGGAATATACTGGAACTCCCGTATAACCCCCGGTATATGCGCAAGCGCATTAGACTACCGTATATGACAGGAGCTGCCATGTTTTCCGGGGGAGTGGCAGCTTATCCAGCTACCTTCAGTTAGCCTGCACTGGAGCAGCTTCAAGCTTATGGATGTGTTGCCATGGTGATTTTGCCAAACTTGCTTCGTGGAACCGAAAAGCCTGATCTACGTCATCTTATCCTGAAAAGTATCCGGCTAACTCAGTTAGCCACGTACGAGGAACGGGGCCCTGGACTCAGATCTCCTCGTAATGATACCACAAATACTCTGTTCCAAGACAGTAAAAGTACTAAAGTACTACTGGCATTAGCCACAAAGCCCTTAGAGGATCTGGTTGTTAGGGTTAGTTAAACATGATAAACAGAAGATAAACTGGGTATGTTCAAACCTCCTCCTAGTACAGGGACCAGGTCTACAACGTTATCACTAAACCTTCTAGTACAGGGACCAGGTCTACACCACTAAACCTTCTAGTACAGGGACCAGGTCTACAATGTTACCACTACACCACTAAACCTCCTAGTATAGGGACCAGGTCTATATCGTTGCCACTAAACCTCCTAGTACAGGGACCAGGTCTATAACGTTACCACTAAGCCTCCTGGTACAGGGACCAGGTCTATAACGTTACCACTAAACCTCCTAGTACAGGGACCAGGTCTATAACATTACCACTAAACCTCCTAGTACAGGGACCAGGTCTATAACGTTACCACTAAACCTCCTAGTACAGGGACCAGGTCTATAACGTTACCACTAAACCTCCTAGTACAGGGACCAGGTCTATAACGTTACTCACCCACTCAGGCTGATCAGGGGGTGGGTTGATCATCGTCTCCTCCACAACGGTCTGAACACAAAGAAAGAATCTAATCAATCACTTTTCAATCCCATTGATCTGATCAATAAGAGAGGAAGAAGAGGACTTGAGGTAAACTGAGGACCGATGAAGGATGCGGCTCACCTCTCCTGTCCAGCCGGGAGGAGGGTAGCTCAGGTACCCCAATGGAGGCCCGCAGGCTGGAGGGGGGATAGGAGGCACCGGTCCGTAGGCTGCGGGGTCCGGAGAAGGAACTGGTGGTACATGCGGTACGGGTCCGGGTGGAACATGCTCGGGCCCCCACGGCTCAGCGGGACGTTGCGGACCCCAGCCAGGAGGTCCCCAGCTCGGAGGAGGTCTCATGTCATCAGGGTGAGGAGGTCTCCAATCGTCCGGGTGAGGGGGTCTCCAATCGTCCGGGTGAGGGGGCCTCCAATCGTTCGGGTGAGGGGGCCTCCAATCGTCCGGGTGAGGGGGCCTCCAATCGTCCGGGTGAGGGGGCCTCCAATCGTCGGGATGAAGCCCCCAACCCGGTGGCGGCGATGGTCCTCTTAAGGTAAAATAAGATAATCGTTTATTAGTCCCGCAGTGGGGAAATTTACAGGATTACAGCAGCATAGTGGAGTATATATACACATATACATACACACGCATGTATGATACATACATGTATACAGCATAGTGCGAACAAGAGAAACAGACAGTTGAATGTTATATATACAAACAGTTGTACCTTGGTGCCCAGCCACGTGGTGGAGGCTCTCTCGGCCCCCACCCACCTGGAGGCGGTGGCCCCCATTCTTCGGGCGGTGGAGGGCCCCACCCTCTTGGAGGAGGTGGCCCCATGTCGAACGGAGGTCCGTGGTCGCCCCTCGGTCCCATGGGGGGTCTGTTCCGCATCGGTCCCATTTCCACACCGGAACAAAGCCAACAGCTAACGTGAACGCAGGAAACTAGCTAGCTCACTAACGCAGGAAGCTAGCTAGCTACAGAGCTAACTGGCTAATCATCAAAACAATCCGAAGGTTATATTTCCGTTCGCATCAAATATGTCGGAATATTAACTCATATAAACGTTTATATTTCCAGCGGAGAGTCAGCGGGTTCAAGCTAAAGCCTAAACAAATACCACGGAAGTGTTGGTATGACGTTCTTCTTTGTGGGTTTTATGGCAGACTAGGCGCCACAGTGCCTTGCCTCCTCCCTGCGGTGGAAATAGTCACTACATCAATAGATATAATAAAATAAACTCTTTAAATATAATAAAATAAACTCATTTTGCAGCAGAAAAAGCTTTTATTTAGTTTGATGCTGAAACCAGAAGAACATTTTAGAACATCAATAAACAGGAAGCCGATACCAGCTGGACTCAGACCAGACCCCCATCTCAGAGTCCTGGACTCAGACCAGACCCCCATCTGAGCTGGATGGATTGATCGGTTATTGCAGTGATACTTCAGAGATCGGATCAGGTTCCTTAGAAACATCCGATTCCCCAAACACGTAAAAAAACGTTTAGTCTTTACTGTCGTCATAAAAATAAATGAAGGCAGAGCGTGAAACAACATCTTTAGAACAATAATCCCTTTGATCAGCAGCAGGAAACAAACAAAGCAACAGAAGATCCTTCATCATCGGGTCCAGATCCAGAAGAGACCACGAGGAGGAAAAGAAATGTTCTCCGATCTATAAAATCAGTTCTGCCATTTTAAATCCAAACTGTCCCAAAAGTAAGAATCTCCCCGTTCTAACAGGTTCTAACTGGTTTCAAACTGTTTAAACTGGTTTTAGACCGTGTTTTATCTGTTTACACAGATTTTAAAAATAAAATTAAACAGAACTAATATCATGACTTTCATGTCAGAATTGAGTAAGTATTTATAATTTATTGACATAATTTAAAGACTAAACTAAGATTTGTTTCTCTCCAGAATTTAAATATTAAACTCAGAACAGTTTTTTCTTCATATGACCCTCGTCTCGTTCCGTACTTTGATTTTATGAAAACACAGAAGGTGAAATACAGGAAGTGGGAAGTGAGTGCAGCAGTGTTGGCGGTGGGAGGGGGGGGTTCAGGTGAGGCTCTCAGGTGAGGGGGTGTGGCTGTGTTGTAGCTCCTCCCCCTCTCTCTCTCTGGACCCCGGTTCAGTCGAAGGGGCTGAAGTCTCTCTCCAGGTTCTCGGACTCGTCGTCGTCGGAGAAGAAGTCGTCCTCGTCGATGTCGTCCTCGTCGTAGTCTTCGTGCCACTCGGGGACGTACTCTACGTCGTACTCGTCGTCCTCGTTCTCCTCACGGCCCTCACCGCCGTTGTTGTTGTTGTCCGAGTCTCCGGACTCCGACGCTCGGTCCGCCTTCGACCTGAGAAACAGACAAACACAATAAATATGAGCCTTATTTCAGCGATATGAAGACCATCAATCAAATAAAACACACAAAGTGTCTTCAGCTACAAGACACTTTGCTAATCTTTTATTCCTGGATGAAAATATTTTTGTGTTCTCTGGTTGTACCTTCTCTGGTTCCAGGTTCTCAGGTTCTACATTCTCTGGTTCTACCTTCTCTGGTACCAGGTTCTCTGGTTCTACATTCTCTGGTTCCAGGTTCTCTGGTTCTACATTCTCTGGTACCAGGTTCTCTATTCTGGTGTCATACTCACACTTTGTTGGCGTCCTTGTTGTTGGACAGGTTGGAGTTCTGAGTGGATTCTGGTTCCTGGCTGCTCTTGGACTGATAACCCACCCTGAAGTCCTGGAGCAGACAGAAACGCAGAGAACTGGTACTGGAAGTAAACTGGTCTGGACTGGTGATGCTAAACTGGTATTTAACTGGAGAGAAACTGAGGTGGTTTGTATTGTTAAAATAATAATAATAATAATAATAATACAAACATACTGACATACACTGACTATAGTCTATAGACTGGTTTTATACTGGTCTCAGCCCGTCTCTTTAGACTGGTTTTATACTGGTCTCAGCCCGTCTCTTTAGACTGGTTACCTGGGTGGAGTGCTGCAGAATGGCCAGCAGGCGCTCCTGGATGCGCCGGATCAGTTCCAGTCCCGTGTTCAAGTGTTCCGGTTTCAGCAGCCGGACACATGAGGCCAGGTCAGTGCACTGCAGCAGAGTCTCCTCTGAGAACACAGAAAGTACCAGTCAACACCAATAAGACCAGTCCAAACATAAGAAACTGTGCTTAGAATAACAAGAATGTCTCACCCAGCAGGATCTGCAGGGCGTTGGTGTGCAGGTCCAGAGCCTCCGTCTGCTGCTCCATCACATCCATCTTCTCCGTCTCCTGGTTGTAGTAGCTGTAGACGCAGGAGTAGGCCAGCACCTGCAGACAGTGATGAGGGCTCAATAAATCCATTTACAAGTCGCGTCAGCAGGAGGATCATCACAGTCTGATGATGATGATGATGAAGATGATGGTGGTGGTGTTACCTTACGAGCCTGAGCGAGGACTTTACAGGCGTCGATGACGAATGTCAAAGACTTCATCTGCAGACCTTCATTAATGGACGACACTTTGTTCTCCAGGTTGATCGCAAAATCCTGCAACAGCAACATTCATTGAGACCTCTTCACTGCTGCAGGGTCACATGTATATAAATTATATATTATAGTGGTCTCTTCTGGTCTCTGTACTGGGAAGGCCGGTTGAGATGTGAACCAAACTACTGAGCTGACTAACAAGCTAGTAAGAAGCTAGGCCGTATGCTACTCTGTGTTGCTAGCCGGCTAACGTTAAGCCTCTGGTCTTGTTTCAAAGTAAAAGTCCTCTGGTTGTTTCAAAGTAAAAGTAATCTTGTTGTTTCACAGTAAAAGTAATCTAGTTGTTTCACAGTAAAAGTAATCTTGTTGTTTCACAGTAAACGTCTTCTTGTTGTTTCACAGTAAACGTCTTCTTGTTGTTTCACAGTAAACGTCTTCTTGTTGTTTCAAAGTAAACGTCTTCTTGTTGTTTCAAAGTAAACGTCTTCTTGTTGTTTCAAAGTAAACGTCTTCTTGTTGTTTCAAAATAAAAGTCTTGTTGTTTCAAAATAAAAGTCTTGTTGTTTCAAAATAAAAGTCTTGTTGTTTCAAAATAAAAGTCTTGTTGGTTCACAGTAAAAGTCTTGTTGGTTCACAGTAAAAGTCTTGTTGGTTCACAGTAAAAGTCTTCTTGTTGTTTCACAGTAAAAGTCTTCTTGTTGTTTCACAGTAAAAGTCTTCTTGTTGTTTCACAGTAAAAGTCTTCTTGTTGTTTCAAAGTAAAAGTCTTCTTGTTGTTTCAAAGTAAAAGTCATCTTAATAATACTAATAATAATAATAATAATAATAACAACAACCTTGGCCTGGTGGTGGAAGGTGCATCGATCATTATAATCCTGGAACTTCTTCTCCTGCCGCGCTGCTTTACTCACCTGTAGAAACAAGATGACGAGTGTGAAAAGGTCTCAGAGAAGGAAAGAAAGTTTTCTCTTGATTTCACACATTTTATTTGGGCGGTTGAACATTTTGTTATCGTCTTTTCTTCTTCGTAAGAAGCAGTTTGAGACTTCTGTTAAAAGAGCTGGAGAGATAGTCAGGTGACCGCATGTGGACCAGCTGTGGTCACGTGACCGCGTGTGGACCAACCATAGCGGAGCAGTTGTAGTAATCTTTGTGAGTCGGTTTCCAGGGTTTCAGACATCGCCAGCAGAAGCCGTGGTTACACTTGGCACAGGTCATACTGAGGAGAGAGGGACACACCCATCATCATCATTAGGTGAGTGCACAGGTGAGTGCACAGGTGAGTGCACAGGTATGTACGTACTGTAGGCAGCCTTCGTTCTTCTCGATCTGAGCCTGGCAGCTGGGGCAGCGTTTGGAGATGAGCTTGGCGAGGTGTTTGCTCTGAGCCTCCATAGTCATGCCTTCATAATAACCTCCATCATCCATCCACTGGGACATGTGGCTGCAGCTGGCTGGGTAGTGGGCCTAGAGGGGGGGGGGGTTACCTTCAGAGAGCTGTATACTTGTGTGTGTGTGTGTGTCTGTGTGTGTGTGTCTGTGTGACCTCGGGGAAGTTGCAGCTGAAGCAGGAGGACCAGCAGCACCTGGAGCAGGTCCCCATGCTGCCCATATTCTCCTTACACAGGATCTGATCACAGCCCTGAGGGTTGGTGCACCACGTCAGGTTAGAGCAGCACTCCACGTAGCCTCTGAGCAAGGCACTCTCATACTGAGGAGGGGGGGGGGGGGAAGAGCGAGAGAGAGAGAGAGAGAGAGAGAGAGATTCACAGCAACATCATGAACTGATTCAGAGACAGATCATTGATCTCCTCTGTGAGTTGGTGGTTACCTTGGCGACGGTGTCCTTGTCGGTGAGGATGCTGAGGAAGAACAGTGAGGTGGGCTGAGCCTGGCAGTCTGTGATTGGACAGTTACAGTTCATCACCAGGTTCTGTTCGATCCTCGCTGTCAGGTACTCCTGCCAGCACGACTGTAGGGCACACACAACCAACAATCAATAATCAATAATCAATAACCAACAACCAATGAGCTCATGTATGTGGCCCCACCCTGCAGCAGTAGTGCATGCAGCTCAGCGAGGGCCCTGGCTCCTTGGCGGGGGGGGCGGGGCCCAGGCAGACCGGGCAGGTGGGGGCGGAGCTTGAAGGCGGCTGAGGGTTCCTGCTCTCGAGTCCGGCGGCCGTGACGACGGCGTCGGGGTCGTCGGTGTAGCGCTGAACCAGGAGGTCCACATTCCACTTACAGTAGACCAGCAGGTGTTCAGCTCGGTCCAGGTCCAGACTCAGAGTCCCCGATACCTGAGGGGACAGAAAGGACAACATCACCTGTTTTTTGCTGGTCTTCTTTGTTATGTCTCTGTGGTCGGGTCGCGTCTCTTTGCGGTCGTTTTGCATCTCTTTGCAGTTGTCTTGAGTCTCTTTGCGGTTGCCTGATTAACTTTCCAAATGTTAATCACTTCCAACAAGAAGATGTCACTGCAGTGAAAATAATCCCATCTCAGAGACATCTGTAAATGTCCTCCACTCGTCACTTTAATAAAAGATCAAACTGAACAGCATGAGTCTCTCCCAGACACTCGATTCAAACATCTTTATGGACACAACAGTCTGACCTGTAGGACAGTCCTCTGCATCAGCTGACGGACTTCCTCCTGCGTCATCGTACGACCCATCGAGAAGAGAACCGCGTCCAAGACGCCGTCCTCGAACCGCCGAGGTGTTGAAATCAGACTGCAACACACACACACACACACACACACACACACACACACACACACACACACACACACACACACACACACACAGGATTTACATAAAGCTTTTAATAAGAGGGTTAATAAATCCATGTTTAAGATCAAATAAAACGCGTCGTACGTTGTACAGATTGTAAAGCCCCGTGAGGCCGATTTGTGATTTTTGGTTCTATAAATAATTTGAATCACCAGAGCTTACGGATCTGGACTAAATTTGAATGTTTCATGCAGCACAATAATCAAAAGAATAGTAAGAAAGACACAACAGGAGACATTGAACACATCGGTGTGGTGGGACAGCTGCTTTAAGTTTAATCTACATCATGATGTTATTTCAATTAAAACAGATTTTGTTGCTTATTTCCCCCAAAATATTCATAATAGTTGAGTTTGTCTGCTTCCAAGAGATCCCTCACTAGCTTCCCACCACTGACATAGTGACTGTTTTTGTTATTGTAAAAAAACTTACATACATACTTAATATTAAGTATTACATATTATAGTGAATTGTGTTATTAAATTCATCCAGTCTGTATTTTATTATTAAAAACCGAGAATAATAACTGACAAAACAGAAACGTGTTATAACTATTAATATTAAGTGTTAGACTACTTTTATTGTTTTGTTTGTGTGCCAAGTGATTCATTCAGAATTTCACATATATTACGAATAATTCTGGACATCTTCACAAACATGTGGTTTCTATTTAAACGTTTATTTGTTTGAAAGTTACATTTTGATTCTTTATGAATATCCAAGTTAAATTATACTCATAAGTCAATTATTAATGATCTTACTTATTCCAAAGAAGTCAAAAAACAACAAGCAAAAGTTTAAATCTTTTCTTTATTTTCTTTTTGTAGAAAATTAAACATTTTACATTTTGTTTGTTTTTGGAGGAATTACAGGACGTGACTTTAGTTTGAATGAGTCAGAAGAAGCTGAAGAACGTCACATAAATAAGAACTGAACTCAGATCTGCTTTTATCTGAGAGAACAGAGGCGACACTTTATTTCACAATCACTTCCTGAAACGAACCGAGTAAAATGTGAAACCACAGCGAGAGCAGGAGGACAGCTTCTTAAAGGGACAGGACGGACACGAGGGGATGAAGATGAAGACAAACAGGAAACTGAAGCTTCTTCTTCATGTCTGAAGAAACTAAATGAAGTTAAAACGACAGAGTTGACCCTCACAGGTCAGAAGTCACACCTGATGTCGGCCCCGTCGTCCTCCTTCCTGATATCGGTCTGGCTGAAGGAGAACTGGGCCTGGCCCTTCTGCGGCGTGGACGGATCCTCCGGCAGGTACTCCACGATGTGCGGGTTCTCCTCATTGCGGCGGATGCAGCCTTTACCGATGACGTGCACGATGCAGGAGAGCACGTCGCTGGTGCTGCAGCCGAAGCGCCTGGCACCCCGAGGGCGAGACGCTTCCTGTCTCTGACACGAGTCCAGCACCTGGAGGGGGGACGGGGACATGTCGTATAATTTATCGTATAACGTATCGTATAATTAGTGCTGGGCAAGTTAACGTGTTATTATCGCGTTAACGCAGTCATTAATTAACGCCGACAATTATCTTATCGCATGCTAACGCAGTTTATTTTTTTTATTATTAAACAGACATTTTTAACACAAGAACCGGGCAGCGAGTGGTGAACAGCTGTTTGTGCGGCGTCACTTCCTGCTGCTGCTGCATCTCTTACACACATGAAGATAAAGTTGTGAACACCGGCTGAATATCTATGATCAGAATCATTATAACTGTGTTATAACTGCTGCTGTGTAAAGAGAATACTGCTGCTAACAAGAACCTGATGTGTTTAAAGTGTTTAAACCAAATGTTATTGACCTTTTGTTCATGTAGCAGTACTTTTAAATAAAAGTGCACAATACACTACTTTAGAATTCATTATTGAAGTTTGCGCATAACAATGCGATTAATCGCGATTAAACATTGTAATCGCTCCAGCACTAATATACAGTAGATTATCGTGACCTCTGACCTTTGTTTCAGTGGTTGTTGCCGAGGTAACTAACCCATCTCTGGGCGTCAGTTACGAACTCGGCAGAGCCGTCGCCATGGAGACGAAGAAAATCCTCCGTTTAATCGTTGCCCAGCACTAAATATAATGTATCGTATAATATAATGTATCGTATCGTATAATATAATGTATCGTATAATATAATGCATCTTATCATATATCGTATAATATAATGCATCGTATCATATATCGTATAATATAATGTATCATATATCGTATAATATAATGTATCGTATCGTATAATATAACGTATAATATAATGTAACGTATCGTATCGTATAATATAACGTATCGTATAATATAACGTATCGTATAATATAACGTATCGTATCGTATAATATAACGTATCGTATCATATAATGTATCGTATCATATATCGTATCGTATAATATAATGTATCGTATAATGTACCGTATAATATAATGTATCGTATCGTATAATATAATGTATCGTATCGTATAATATAATGTATAATATAATGTATAATATAATGTATAATATAATGTATAATATAATATAATGTATAATATAATGTATCGTATCATATAATGTATCGTATAATATAATGTAATATATCGTATAATATAATGTATCGTATAATATCATGTATCGTATCATATATCGCATCGTATAATATAATGTATCGTATCGTATCATATCGTATAATATAATGTATCGCATCGTATATCGTATCGTATCGTATATCGTATCGTATAATATAATGTATCGTATAATATAATGTATAATGTATCGTATAAGATATCGTATGATTAAACATGAAGCGTGGTCATAGAGCTTTGGAACTACACTTCCCATGATGCTTTGGGGGAAGCACCAACCTTGAAGACGAGGTTGTCGACGTGCATCTCCTTCTCCCGCTTCATGATGTGGACGATCAGACAGTAGATGTAGTTCCTCTTCCTCTCCAGTGTGCCGGCGGCATCCTCGTCCACGTTCAGGTATGTCTGTCTGGGCAGCAGCTGGACGGACGCGGGGACACCGTCCACACTGAGAGACGCCACCTGCTGGTTCACCTGCAAGACACCTGAGAGCAGACGGGGGGGGGGGGGGGGGGGGGGGGGGGGGGGGGGGGGGGGTGGTGAGTCAGGGAGGATGGTGAGTCAGGGAGGATGAAGAGGATGAAGAGGATGTAAGAGGTCATGAGGAGTCTGACCCTGGAGAGGCTCCTCAGGCAGGCTGCAGGTCAGAGGTCCTCCGTCACTGATGAGAGGCAGCAGAGCGTGAAGCAGGACAGCAGCTGATAGGCTGGTGGCCTGGAGCAGAGCCTCCACCGGAACCTCCTGTAGAGAGCCCACGGTCAGCGAACGCACCACCAACACAGGTTATATCACGTTATACATCAGAGAGCCCACGGTCAGCGAACGCACCACCAACACAGGTTATATCACGTTATACATCAGAGAGCCCACGGTAAGCGAACGCACCACCAATACAGGTTATATACTATAACCGATTTTAATTTCCCGTGTGATATTCATTTTTCACACACCGTCATACCGGTGCACAGAAACAACTGCTGTCGCTCTTCAACAGGCAGCAGAATATATTGTTGGCCGCTATGAGCGCTACGGTGGGAGCTAGTTGTCTTAAGTGTGTTGAGAGGGAACCCTAGTCATGGTTATAACTGTATAACAACTAATAACCTACAACTAACGCTCTGTAACAACAAAACACCACGACACAACAGTTTGTGACACGCAAACAATTTGTAACACTAATAATTGTACATTTATAAAATTACACCGCCGACCGGCATGCTGGGTACAGCTAGCTAGCTAGCCCGCTAGCACAACAGTCTGCTAACAGCTGGGAGAGGCTCCGTCGCTACAGTAATGTTACATTAAAGAACAGAACAGAGCGATGCAGGAGGAACAAAGACAGACCGGAGATGCACCGATCTGCTGTTTGGAAGTGTTTGAATATCCGACGTAGACCAAAAGACTATATATTGCAAAGTTTATCGAGCCACTGTTGTTGCCACAGGTGGTAACACGAGCAACTTACTCCATCACCTCAGCAGAAAACATGAGTTGGAATACCAAGAGTGTGAAGACGGCCGTCAACCAGTAACGTTGGCGCGAGTGAAACAGTGAAGCTAAAGGGTCAGACATCGCTTGAAGAGGCATTAGCTCGAGGCTGCATATGACAAGCAAGCGGTGGAGCGACATTACGAACACAATAAGGATCCAGCTCTGCAAGGACCTGGTCCCACTACAGACAGTCGAGAAAGACTCAGAGCAATGATTAAAACACTGGATTCAAGGTATGTCTGACCGGGGCGACAATACTTCAGCCAGACTGCTATCCCAACATTAGAGGAACAAACGAGCACCCCCTCTAGTAAGCAAAGCCTTCATACATGAAGACATTAACATGTTTTATATTCCATGTACTCCTGACAGTAGAGTGAGCCTCTATAAACATATAGAAAAACAATACCGTGATATACCGTGAAACCGGCAGAATCTTAAAAAATATCGTGAAACACATTTTTGGTCGTACCACCCAGCACTATCAGAGAGCCCACGGTCAGTGAACGCACCACCACCAACACAAGTTATATACTATAATATATCATGTTATATATCAGAGAGCCCTCGGTCAGTGAATACGTATAATACATTGTATAATACATCGTACAACATATTGTAGAATACATTGTATAATATATCGTACATCATATCGTATCATATATTGTATAACATATCGTATCATATATCTTACAACATATCGTATCATATATCTTACAACATATCATATCATATATCTTACAACATATCGTATCATATATCTTACAACATATATATAATACATCGTATAATACATCATACAACATATCGTACAACATATCGTATCGTACGTCGTATACCATATCGTATCATATATTGTATAACATATCGTATCATATATCGTACAACATATCGTATAATACATTGTATAATACATCGTATAATACGCGTCACCTGTTGGCTGTTGAGCTGCAGCAGGATGAACATCTGCAGAGTGGAGACGTGAAGCTTCCAGCAGCCAAACTGAAGCTCAGCGTGACCGAGCCAAGTCCACTGGAGACGGCGAGGCTTCCAGTGACTGAGGCCGAACATGGACTGACCTGGACACACACATCATACTGGTTATACTTGTTAATGACCGAGTGTAGGACTGAGTGAACTAGTTACTGACCGAGTGTAGGACCGAGTGTAGAACTGAGTGAACTGGTTACTGACCGAGTGTAGAACTGAGTGAACTGGTTACTGACCGAGTGTAGAACTGAGTGAACTGGTTACTGACCGAGTGTAGAACTGAGTGAACTGGTTACTGACCGAGTGTAGAACTGAGTGAACTGGTTACTGACTGTGCGTAGAACTGAGTGAACTGGTTACTGACTGAGTGTAGAACTGAGTGAACTGGTTACTGACTGTGAGTGTAGAACTGGGTGAACTGGTTCAGGTAGGAGCAGAGTTCGTCTGGAAACTGTTTTGTGGGTTCGTCCAGGAAGCAGAGCGAGGACACGGCCCAGCAGCGTGGAGACAGAACCAGAACCTGGACCTCCACCTCCTCCTCTGACTCCGCCCACTCCTCCTCCATCATCTGCAGAAACAGGATCAAACAGGAAGTCAGACACATATGTCAGTGTCATGTTAACTCAAACACGTTGAACCACAACAACCCGGAGAAGGTTGTGTGGGTTTTTTGCCGACCTGGTCGTGCTCCTGCAGGCATCGATCCAGCTGCTGCAGGCGATACAGGTGGAACTCCTGCTGCAGCTCCGCCGACTCACTCAGGTTCTTCAACATCTGCTGAGGGAACCGACTCGGGAAGCAGCTGCCGATCTGATCGATGACGGCGCTCTCCAGCCACAAGTTCCCCTGAGCCAGCAGCCGGTCGCCCAGGTAGTACCTGAGAGGCAGAGCAGAGGGATTCGGTAAGAAGCCATCGGCATTGTAGGACCGGCGGCAGTTCGGCGTGGCGGCGTTCACACCTGTAGAAGTGCTCGAAGGTGTTGGCGAGCTCCAGACCCGACAGGAAGAGCATCGGCTCCAAGAACTGCTGCAGACGCTCCAGAGTCTCCACGCTGCCGGAAGAAGAGCCGCTCACCTGGATGGTGACGTCGATGTACTGAGAGAAACGCTCACTCACCTGAGAGAGACGCACACAAAGTCCAGAAATGAAAGC